TACTTTGGTTTATCCTAACCACATTATTTTTTCACCCTTCCTAAAAGCCTGGTCTTTTTCAGGTCCAGAACTGGATACTGAGGAAAGAACAAATTACTTTGTTACAAATGGAAATGATAACCAAAGCAATAGCTTCCTTCCTTGATCATCTAGCCCTTAGAGGGGCATTGGGTTTACATAAAATTTTAACATGCCTGTCTTTTGGACTGTTTTACAAAATTTTATCACAGAAATGTGGGTGTTTGTTTGTCTTCACCTAATATGTCACAGAAAATTTAAGATAAGTAACTTTTGACTTCAGGGGTGTCTGTGGCTGTGTTTCTGCTGTTATGACTCCAGAAGCACAGCATGGAGCTCCTGGCAAGCTAATTTAAAGTCAGCAGGAGGACAGGTTAGACTTAGCAGGTTGACTAAGTGCTGCCTCATACCAGGGGTGGTGGCAGAGAGGAGCTCTGCCCTAGGGAGTGCCATGGGTAACACCAGCTCCTTGGCACTCTTAACCATAAAGCAAGAGTGATTCTCCTTCATAAGGTGTGTTGGAGATCTCCTGGTAAGAAATGAGAGCACTTAATAACTGCAGTACACAGTTTTAATAAAAATATGACTAGAATTCATAAAGCAGTGCAGTAGTAATGCAAACATTGTTGTGACTGGTTGCCATATCTGAGGTCCCTGGTAAATTCAAAGTTAACTGACTCACCTCAGGAGCTGGAGCTTCATAGCCTCTTTAATCCCAATTTAGGGATCCGAAACCTGAGTGGCTTTTGGAGGAAGGGAGGGACAGGCATTTGAGCTGAAAAAAAAAGCCTTTTGCTGCTGTAAGTACAAGCCTGTCCTTAGGCTTTTTTGCTTTGTATAAAAGCCTAGGAAGGGGATGAAAGCTCAGACAGTGGCCTATTGTGTGTGCGGTGAGTGGGGGGAATGGCATGTGGATTCTGCCTGTTCTCATCTATGCTTCAGCAAGAGACCAGATGTATGTGCTGAGGGAAAAAAGGATTCTTCTCTGAAATAGTAATAAAATCAAAAAGATAAGTGAAATTCTCAAAGTAATTTCACTCAAGACTTTTGCAAGTCTCAAACAGTTTGGTTCCCATACAAAGCCTGTTTATTTGAAGCAGTTTTGAGAAGGTTGAATTGGCAGTGTTCATTGGAAGAATGTAATTTGTGTCAGAAAAAAACTAAACCCTTAAATGAACCCCTTTCCCAGAAGCATGCCTTAATGTGTTGGAGGAAGGTATACAGAATAGAAAGTACCATGCAGTGTTTGTGTACAAGAATAATCTGACTGGTTTGGGGTTTGTTTTTGCTGTGTGTGTAAAAGGAGGGTGAAGATGTTGTTTTTACATCGTGTTTGAAGTCAAAGTGTTCCAGCTACTTTATCGCAACTTGTTATAAGAGAACAGAATAATAGGAGTTCAGCCTGGTGTAGGAACTGAAAAAATACAGTGGGACAAAATTCCCCTTTCACTAATGATTTAAGCACACCAGAGTACAAGTTCAGTCTGTGGGAAATGTTGGTGTGTTGTGTTATTTTTTTGGGCTGAAGCCATGACTTTCAAAAGAACTTGGTGTAGAAGTGTAAAGCATAATAATGCAGGCTTCCTTGTTTATTTTTTAAGTTATTTAGCCACTGATTGATTTGCAAAGGTCAGATCCTTCACCAAAATTTAAATCCATCAGGAACAAATGAGTTCTAAGATTCAAGGTGCAGGACTTACTATGTTGTGGGGTTTTTTTTTCCACCTGAATTGAGCAGCAGCATTTATCATTAGTGCTGGCATTTATTTCAGCATCAGGCAGCTGGTTTGGTGTGTCAATGTACAACTCTGTGGTTTAAAAGAACCTTGCTAAGTCCTTTCTTACCCTTGTTTTTCCTACTCTACCTCTGTTTTCACATATAATAAAAACTATGCCAGTGCTTGTCACTTGTGAGGTGCCAGGAGTAATCGGCAAACAGTGCAGTTTAGAACCAGTGACTTCTCTGTAAATAATTTATGCTTTAAAAAAAAGGTAAGTGAATAGTCCTTGAGTATCCAACTCCCAAACCCACATATTTATCAGTACAGCTATTTAGCTGTGAAAAGCTTTTCCTTTTTTGTTTGCATTTGATTAGTATTATGAGTAAAATGGCAGCACTCATGCCTTTAAGCAGCAATGAACTGACTGTCTGAGCTTGTATATTATGTTTGTAGTTACATAGACTTAAAAGTTTTTTTGTGTGTGAAGTTGCGTTAGTAGTTTTGTCCATGTAAAGAAGTGTTGACAATTCTGTGACTTTTCTTTGATATTCTTATGGCACTTGTGTGGTTTTACAAGAACCTTGGTAAACCAGTATTGCTGAAAGTGCTGCATGTTTTCAGCTTCAATGCAAGTCAAAGTGAAGTTTCTCACTTAAGATGTTTGCTGCTTTGTCTTTCAGCAAGAAGAATCTGTGGTACTGACAGACAGTAAATACAGTTTTGATCCCAACTCCTAAATGAGGAGCTAAGAGACTGGAATATAGATCTGAATTGGTGCTGTTGCAGCCTTCCGTGTTGTATCAGCTTTGCATGTATTATGAAATCTGTTCATAGTACATAAAAATGCACAGACCATATTACTGAACTGCAAAAACCCCACTGCTGATAGATCAAAGAAAGCAGCAGCTGTCATCCAATTTTAGCCACAGTGCTTTTGAATGCCTTAATCCTCTTCCCAAACAGAAGGAAGCAGAGAGAGTGCACTTTCTTTATACTCCCCCGCTTCTGTTTTTTTCAAGTGTTGGTGCAGCAAAAGCCAGGAGCTGTGTTTAGCAGCCATCACTGCATGGCACAAGACATTCTTTTCTATGCATCTTATTTGGACATTTCAGTCCTCCTTATGTGTGCTAAGGTCTTTCAAATTTAATCTTTAGTGAAGTTAGAAATTACATTGTGTTTACTCCCAGGTGTTTAAAATATCAAAGTGATTATTCAGTTGTACTTCATTTTCATTTAGGTCTACTTCAAATTTAAATTAACTTGGTATTCTTTGTTCCCTTTCAGTTGCTGAAGGGGTGTGTGTTGAGATTGTACTCAGAACCCGAGTTACAGGAAACATGCATGTCTACCATGAGAATATATTTTATTTTGTGAAATTTTCACATTTTCAGATATCTTTTTAGCAAGTTTTACAAGACAGTTATTACCAAATAGCTTCTCTAGGAAGCAAGCCAGATATGTTGCAAACATAAACTTGATCTGTAACAGCTATTTTTAATGTCTGTATAGTGAGTGCAGTGGTCTGTCTCCAAAGTGGCTCATGGCAGAAATCTGGGGAAGCATATGAGAACTGAGGAAGCGCATGGTGATGCTTCCCTGGTACACTGTGATGTCTCACTAATGTTTCCCGAGATAGAAGCTGTTCTTTGAACTAGAGCCATTTCCTTTCCTCATTAATTTGCCTAATCACTTTTCTTAACTGTATTCTAAGAATATTTTCCAAATATGTGTAAACACATTTCAAGAGAATAGCATAGGAAAATTATTTATATTGAATTGTCAAAATTATTGGAAATAAATTATAAAAGGGTGGTTTTTATGTATTGGTTTTTATGTTTGTTTTGCACTGTCTTGCAAAGTGAATTTGTACTGCAAAGTAATCTCAGCAGAGGAGTGAAGTATGCAAGTGTAAAGCTGTCAGACTACAGCTGGTTCATTCAATTGTCTGTCTTGATAAGCTAACAGATACCATTTTAGTCTCTCACTTTAGCCTCTCAGACCAAAAAAACTTTGCTGTGCAGGTATAAGTAAACTGCTGGAGTCAGAGTGAAAGTTTTAAGAATCCATTTGTGTTGTCCTGTTTACCCAAAGAGAATTTCAAAAAATCTGTATTAAAAAGTGTGTTGGCTGGGACAGCACTGAAGGCCAGATGCAAGGGAACAACGTTTGATGACAAGGTTTGGTTTGTTTAGAAATGCAACTTGATTAAAGTTGCTCTAGTGCCAACTACTCCTTCCCTGCAGTCTGCTCATTTGTGTGACGCGCTAGCCCTCACAACACACACGGAAGATCAGAGATGATGTGCAATAACCCCAGTCCTACTTCTGTTGTCAGACGAGAATCTCCCAGCAGCGACATTACCTTCTTGTAGTTTACTCTTGCAAGCCCATTTTCCCTTCCCTCTACATTAATACACATTTCCAAACTCCTCAGTTTGAAATGCCATCTCTTTACATCTTTAAAAATGCTAAAACATTCAATAAGGGCAAGAAAGAAAGTGTGTATTTTGAGATGTTCATGACTAGTTTTTGCTACCTTACAGTAAGAGGGTATCTGTTTGCTTTTCTCTTGACAGAGCACAGAAAAGAAGCCTCAAGTGCAATGAAAAATTGAGGTACTATCTTGTACTATCAAGGTACTGGATTTCATTACTATGAAATCCAGCTGATTGTAGTTTCAGTGGAATATGTGTGCTTCCACTGGCTGTGCAACAAGCAAAGGAGTTCTTGTGTGTCCCAGTACTCAATACTGGGATATCCAGACAGCTCTCAGATCAAGGAAGAGATGGAGAAACTGAAGGGCAGTTTACTTGTGTCATTAATCTGTGAGAGGAGGGAGGCATCTCATGTGAATTTATTCTTTCTTTTAATTTCCTCACACCCTGCCTCCCTCCTCCTCCAAAAAAAAGGTCATATGCTTGTAATATGGTTTTACAAATTCTAGAGTAATGTTACTTTAAGGTTTGTCAAGGAAAAAGGGAAAATATTCTAAAAGGTCCCACTTTGTTTGAAATTATGAATTTTTATTTCAAACTTGGAAATAAGAAAGTGGTAGGCATGTGGTATGACCTACTTTTGCATGTTCTGTGCTGCATTGCTAAAGTACTACTGTAAGTATTAGAGGATCATTTTTTCTCTTTAATTTTGGTGTTTATTGTTGTCTCAGTTGCTAAGTTTGTTATGCAAACACCAAAAAAAGAGTGTTCCAAGACTGACTGATTCATTAATGGCGTTAATAAATATTTCTTTTTCACTTTTACAGGTTATTGAATCACTAGGGATTATTATATATAAAGCCCTGGACTATGGTTTGAAGGACAATGAAGAGCGGGAATTAAGTCCTCCACTGGAGCAGCTTATTGACCACATGACTAATACCACAGAAACAGATGGGAGTAGGGATGAAGGATATGATGCTCTGGATGAAGGAGAGGAGGATGACAATGATGATGATCAAGAGGAAGTTGAGACCATTCGTTCCTATAGGGATGTCATGAAGGTACAGTGGTCGGCGGTTTATATGATACTTCACTGTTTTTATCAATAAGAAAATTAACTCCATTTTCCATATTACTGTCCAGTGTGATCCTGGCTGTATAATCTCCTGATTTCCCTGGTCATTTTGTAAGGTTTGCTTGCAGAGATGACGTGCAGTAGTATTTCATGTTTGACAGTAAACAACAAAAAAATCCATGATTAACTTTATCTTTGGATGTGCCATTATTATCACATTCTGATTTCATCTGTGCACTGGCTAGTCAGCCTTCCAGTCTAACATCTGTTGGATTACTTTGTGTACACTTGGATACTTCATGGGCTGTTTTCAATTAATTCACCTTTTCATTAGTGTGGTATTAATTTAATTATTCCTTATCAGTTTCTTCCTTTGCCACCCTCCTCTACTTGAAGCAGAGGAGTTCTTTTATAAGAGTAGCTTATTTGTGTGGGGTGAGTCAGGATACAGTATTTCATTGACGATCATTATTGTTGCGGTTCTTGACCTGAGTTGTCAGATTTGGAAATACAGCTTATGAATTTTAATTGCAACAGGTTCTGTAATGTTATCTGAGCTACTGTGAACAATAATTTTAAAGTGTTATCCCTCTGTTTTCTATAGAGTAGTCTTCAGTACAAGTTTTAGAGCCCAATGAGCTCTCATTACAGACAAAGGTATTAATAGGCATGGATTTTGACAAAATTTGAATAGCTGGTTTGCCTCATAAATGATATGAGAGTTTAACACAGGACAGAAAATTGTACAGTAACTTGTACCAGGGGATTGAACTCTTTATATTGCTTCTTCATAAATGCAAGTTATATCTGAGGACCAGAAGCTTAGTGTAGAGAGACTAGAAGAGAGCCTCAGATAAGCACATCAGGACTCATTAGCCAAGAGAAACAAGAGCCCCCTAAAATCACTCGCTTCTGATGGTTTGACAGTAAAGAAGGAAGCTCTTAGAAGACTGGAGTGGGAGTAACTTCTGTTTGAGATGCTTTTGTATTCTTGTTCCATGAGAAATAACAGTTACTGCTTAATGCCTTTGTTTTTCCTCACTCCCTCGGAAAAGCAGGGGTCAGACGGACAAATGAATGAAATGGCCTTTCACCCTCTGTAATGGGGAGGGCCTGGCTGGCTGAAATACTCTCCCCTTCAAGCCCCTGCCACCCCCAGCCTTGCTGAGTCAGTGCCCTCACTGTGGGCAGGTGCTTTGATCTCTCCATTCTTTGCTGCTCCCCATCTCTAGGAATGGTCAGCAGCACCCTAATAAGCCCCCATGCGAGGTGGTCTTAATAGCATGATGTTACATAGAATATAGATGCGATATAACCTCTTCCCACAGTTTGGCAAAAATGCCATGATTTGGTGGGACAATCAAAGTTGGACCCTAAGAAGTAGTTTTGTTTAGTACAGAGGCAGGCATGACCTTTATATGTACAGAGATGAGGGTAGTGAATTGCAGAAGTGATTATTATTTTACAGGTTCTTTACTTGATTTCCGCAAGCAAGAAAAAATAAGCTTGGGAGACTTTGCTGAACTCCTTTAGTTAACCTGGTAAACATCCCTGAAATGCGAAAAGGATTAAAAAAATGTTTGTTCAGGTTTCTGCTGTTATGGCTACATGGCATCTCTCTGGTTCTGCTCGGTTAGTGTGTTATCTCTGTTAGCTTTAGGTACCAGCCTATTTATGTGTTTTAAAATCAGCATCTTACATTCTAAATTTTATCATCTTTTGCTATTAACTTTTTGTCACTCTGGAAATGGTCCACTTTTGCGACTTTGCCTTAGTGAACTGTATTTCAGCTCATTTTTACATCATCCTAACTTTTACTCCTCCATCCCTTGGAATTCTCTTTTCTTGCTGCTGTTGCATTTGCCTAAATTATTTGCTGCAGGCTTAACTCAACCACTTGCCTTTATTGCCTTCTCTGTGTCATTACTGCATTGTCAGTACTAGAGCAGCAGCATCATTCTGCCGTGTTTTCGACATGACTGCGGATTTGTAAGATCCTTTTTTCTTGACTTAGTCTTATCCCTGACAGGGGACGATGCTTTGCATGTGGCTTTCTTTTATTTTTTATTGTTTTTATTTCTTTTTTTCCAGCAGTGGTAAACTTTGTTGCAGGCTACACCCTTATTTACCCAGGGACTGTTTCACAACAGCAGTGTGTGGTCTTGTGACCATAAGGCTCAATTACTATAATTCCCTCTTGGCAAGACTGACTGTGAAGCTTTCTCCTCTGTAGTTTGTAGTGAATGCTGAAGCAGGTTTGCTTGTTCAGTTGAACAACTATCATTCTTGCCTACCCTGCATTCTCTAAATTGCAAGCTTGGGAAATGGTAGAGATGGGCTGTATGCTACTTACATTGATTTTTAAGGTTTTTAACTATATAGTCTCCAGTAGGGATGTGATTTTCTCCTTGAAATGAGATTATATGTTTCATCCTTCTCCAGAAAGTGTCATTGTCTGGTCCAAGCTTGTCTGCCGCTGAGACTGAATTTTTCACCATTAATCACTATTGCAGGTGACCTATTCCATGATTAAAACACAGAGAAACATGTGTCAGTTTCTTCTGTAATGTGAAGTAGGCAAGGTCAGTCCTGAGCCCACCTGTAACCTGGAAAACACTGAGTAATGTGGTGGACACCTATTCCTAAGAACTGGGAAAAGGGTAAGTGCTAAACAGTACTGCCAAGATCATCGCTGGCAAAGCTCCTGCTTGGAGAAGACACAGACAAGCTTTTGTGCTACTTCTCAGTATATTTGGCTGATTTGGCTTCTGGCTTCTTTAGCAGAGCCAACCTGCTGCACAGACTTGATCTACTGTTTTTAAAAAAGCATCTGTGAAGAGAGAAGACGTTGGTTGCCAGATGCTTAACTTTTTTAGTCTTTGATGTGTTTTGGTTATGGTCCTAGTGCAAATGAGGAGAGAAATGGAGACAGTAAGGACTGGATGTTTTCAGACAGATGTTTTCTTTGTTTGGGGCTCTCTTCCCTGCCCCCATTTGCAGGACGCACCATGCGCATACGGTACAGGAAATCCTTGGGAAACTTGGGAAGCCTTAGGCAACAGAGGTTATAGACAGTGTAGACCTGGCATGCTGGGCAATGTTGGGCTTTCTAAGGGTGTATGAAGTCCATCATGTGGCACTTATCCATGTGTATGGCCCCTTCCTTGATACTGAAACAAAATGATACAGTTTATCAACCTCTTCCGGAGTATGTTCAAACCATAATCTTGACGTTATCTCACCCCTTATCCTGCAGTTCTCTTCAGTCAGATGGCTTAAGTCATCACCACTTTTGACATTAACTTGGGAGTGCTTTTTCTAAGCTGCAGTTTATTGGTAAGGCTGGCCTGAGCCCCAAGTTGTAGTATTATCCTGTATTCTAGGCCAGCACCCTCATCTAATTCCAGGTGTAAAGAAAGCCACACAACCCTTAGATAGCAGGTTTTATTCTGTGCTGGTATTTTCTGGGCTGAACTGCCATCCTAGCCCTAGCCCTGTCATTTCTTTTAGCCAAATTACTACTGCCAGTACTAGACTTTACCTTAGCTATCCCTCAGAGCAGAGGTGTTGTCAGTCGTATCTGCCAGTTGTGACACTAACCTTTGTCACTGCTTCTGCTACCTTTTTCTGCAGGTCTCATAGAAGATGCGTAAGGAGGTAGTGGTCTTCCTGTGTATCTTGACCTTACTCATGTTCAACTTTCATCCTGAAAGTTAACTTTAACAGGAGCATTATCTGTAGCCAAGGCACACCTTCTTGTCTCAGAGACAAGCATAGGTGGATGGCCTGCAGGGCTCAGCGGCCTCTCGTCCCAGGCCTTACCTAACTGATCACTTTTGGGTAGTTCAGTAATAATGTTTGCTAATTCTGACCAAAAATTAACCATTGGGCAACTGCTGCTTCACAGATTTTAGTTAGTGACCCAGGACCCATAGTAATCAAAACTCACACTTAGGAAATCTCCATGAAGACTTTTTAATTCGTATGAAGATTATTTTCAGAGCAGTTTGTGCAGTGTTGTGTTGTCTCGCTATAAACAGGATTGCAGTTTGCAGTATATTAATTGGTAGAAATTCATGTTTGTGCTTTGCTTGTAAGCAAAGAGGAAGAATAAATTACTTGTCCCGTTCCCCCCCCCCATCTGTCCGTCCGCCCCCCCCCCGTATTTCAGGTATTTTAATTGTCCTTTAATCACTGGCATGGTCTCTAAAATGAGACACTTTTAAGTCTCGATGACTCATATATATTGGTAGTTCAAGTATATGACTGACTTCTTTCAGCTGAAAGGAACTGAATTTACAGTGATGATATTGATCTGCTTGTGCTTTGTTTTGAGTACTCTGATGGTAGTACAGATCAACTCTCTATGGCATGTGTAAGATTGTAGAGGAAAAGAAGAGTATGTCCTGTCTTCATGCAATTACAGGTGAGATGAGAAGATCTACATTTAGATCTAAGTATTTTGGAGGCTTCCTTCTGAGTTTGAGGACTTCCATTAGTATCATATAGATGGTATGACCCCATGTAAATATAATATGGGAACCTGTCAGAGATGAACCAGAACATGCAGTTAAAAACAAGTATGGGTATTTGTTTATGGCAGTTAAAGAGTTCATGTTACTGGAATTCAGAGGTCCACAATTTTGCCTGGTTCATGAGGTTAAGATTAGTAAGACGTAGCTTTCTGTGAATGTAATTCTGTTTAAGGCTGGGTTGGCTTTAGCATTATTATATGAGCATGCAGAACAGTATTCGTGCTTTATTTCAAAGCAAGCAAGTTGCAACATACTCGATAATTCTGTCTGAAGCTGGTGAAGATTCTGGAACCTTACTGAGATGGTAACAAATACCCCCAATGCTGTCAGTTCGTTTTCTATTAAAAAGGAACACAACATGCCATTTCTGAAAATCATCATGCTCAAAAAAAAACCAAAACAGTTGATCATCTCTCTTGAGTCTTGTTTGTAGTGAACTAAAATGTCACGT